GGGGTGAGATCGATGTCTTCTCGGAAGAAAGTGCTCTTCTATTACTTGCTGGTCGTTGGTATTACTGTGTATACATTTTTTTTCTTGTTGTGGTTATAATTCGTGTGATGTTTAATAAAGTTCGTAGTTCCTGACAGAGCATGGATTTGTCATTTCAATGCAATTTTTATGGAGATGTATAGTAAGGGTAATATGGGATTTCTTAAAAAGATGATATATATATATAGCGCAGTGCAGACTGTAGGCCATTAATTCACTTTGAATGCTCGTGCTTTCTGCATACGTATCTCAGCTACCATGACGCCATTGAAAAGATGGGAAATTCTAAAGGCACAGAATCCTGAAGTGTATGCGCGTGCACAAGCGCCTGTGTGTATATTTGCACTTCTGAATTTATATATATATATATATATATATACTATACTCATAGCTATCACAGTGGGCCTAGATTCACCGACAGCGATTCGTAACCCTAACTTATACAGTGATATATTTTCAGTGAGCAGGAGGAGAGAGAGGGGTGGAGAGAAATGGGGACGGGGAGGGGAGCGGGGGAGAATTCTCTTCGGAAAGGATAATACTGGCATCTCTACGCTCTTAAAAGAGCGGCGGCAATTGAAATTTTAAGTCTAGGCTGCTTTTGGCTCTTGTTAGTTTCTTTTCAGGACGAAAGGGCACTTTTCCAACTGCTGGGAGCCGACGCTGCCTCAGAAAATTTGCGCGTTGCGATAGAGCACTGCGGAACTCCTATTGGTCTATTTTAGAGAGTTCAATCTCCCATTCAGACGTCCGGTTTTGTATAACGTCCAATCCAACGGAAATGGCTGCCTTACTTTGCACGCGCCTTTCATTTAAGAAACGATTCGTAGCTGCTACAGATTCCGAGAGAGAGAGAGAGAGAGAGAGAGAGAGAGAGAGAGAAACGGCAATGGCATTTACAACCTCCTTCATCGTTTCATTCCCATTTTCTAAGAGACCCGGAGTCAACAGTTTGTTTTTTGGATTATACGAAAATTTGGCAACGCTGATGTAAAATCCTGGTAAATTTTGTAACCACGCTTTACGGTACTACCTTCACTTCACTTCGAACGCCTCCATTGAAAATGGTATATAGTAACGTCTACCAGGTAGAAAATCCATGGGTATTGATAAAAAAAATTAATTTCGCGGAAAAATACGAATTTTTGAGAAATTCCAAAAAGTTTGAATTTTTTCTTAATATAATTTTTCAAAATACCCTTCATATCCAAAAATGTCTTTGATCCAATCAAAGGAATTTTCCTCTAACAAATTTTATATGTATCTCCTCTACAGGTAATATAAATATACGTAGAATACGAAGCATCGTAGCGTTTCCCATTTTGACCAACTTCTAAAACTGTTTTAGTACGAAGGTTTAAATTAATACGGTCCTAAAGTTTGATTAGGGTTTCATAGGGTTTCACCCCGTGAGTGCAGCGAAAATTTTGTCATCCCACAGTGCACGGGGTTACTGCAACGTAAAACTGTTATACTCCAATTTTACTAATTCTAGATCTAATTGCGAAACTCGATTAGTAATTTCGAAATTTTCGATCCGTATAAATTTTCCATCACGCACACGGAACTTCTCGCTCTCTCGGCTCTTTTGTTTCGCGCGATACGCACCGTTTCATTTGTTATACCTTGCAAAGTTACATTCTGATTAGTTAGAGGCCAAGTGCGTTGCGTAAATAGGCACCTATGTCAAACCATAGCCAGCATATAGGTTTGGCTCTTTACCAAAACCGGAAACCGCATGGAACCGCGAACCCGTGCATTATTCTGCGCGGCAGTTGGAAGCCTTCCAGATAATTCCTGCGCCGATAATTAATACCATAGGTTAGACCAGCAGTTTTATCGTGTGGCCCTTGCGCCATTGCGAGCATCGATAAAAATGGTAATTCCCGAGGGATGAAATAAAAATATATACATAAAATGGGATTTAGGTATATTCGCAAGAAGGATACGGTATGAGAACAAAAAACCTGAAGACATATATAATTAAATAAAATTACATGGATATCACTTGAGATATTATAATTCGATATATTCAATAGCACGTGGCAGATATGATTTGTATGATAAACAGAAAATTTTGTTACATTATCAAGAATTTTGAACGATACCGTAAGCATAGGATACTAAAATTACATCAAATATGAATATTATTTTTATTTTGAGAATTCGGGTTTTCGTATTGCATTTATGTCCTGAGGTCTGCTATTATGTAATTTCACGTGACGTGGAACGATCCGAAAAATCTTATGGGCTGGTATAGCAAACTAAATAAAATTCTAGGCAACGATGAGACAGCTATTATTTTCCTGGCTGGACGTGGAAACTTTATTAAGAAGGAATTATTAAAACGCTATTCTATTGTCCGGTGCTTCTTTATAACCGCGAGGATCAGGAACGGTGACGTAGGTGGATGGATGTATATATGTATACGAGTACGTAAACTCCACGCATTGTAATATCCGGTATACATTGGGATGGTGACTTTTTGTTGTTCGTAAAGTATAACGTTAGAGAAATGGTGATAAATATTTTTTTGAAAAGAGACAGTGTAGAGAAAATTGGAATAAATACATTGTTTTGCGGCAGATTTAGTAAAACGTTTTCGAAAATTTATGAAAAACCGTCTGAGACGGGATATCCTTGAAAATTAAAATTTTCTTTCATTTTCTGTTTTATTAT